AGGCAGGCCCCGAGTCTCTTCCTGACCCAGTTCTGGCAGAGCGGGGCCACAGAAGGCCACAGGTCCCCAGGGATGTCCCCGCACCAAGCCCACCAGCACCAGCCCCAGTTTTCCAGCCTCTCCTTCACCCCGGTTTACTCTGCTCTATCCGTGTCTCTCTTAGCAGTGTCCAGAGGTGAACACAATTACCCAGCATAGTCCCATCATTCATTCATTTATTCATTCATTCATGATGATAATGACTACCATTTATTGAATCTTCCTATGTGGCAGGCACTGAGTACTTTACACACACGATCTCATTTGATCCTCACAACCCCATTATTACCCCCATTTTACAGAAGAGTAAACTAAGGATGTTAACACAAACAGAATCACACTGCTAGGAAGTAGTGCAGCTGGGACTTGAACACAAACAGTCCAGCCACAGAGCCTTTCTCTTTTGCGCTAGACACTCTAATGTACTCTGGAAATGCATCGGAAGTGAAATAATATTCTAAAACCACTGAATCTCACACCTTCGAAGGGTGAGTTTTATGGTATATGAGTTATATCTCAATTTTAAAAATCTGAATGGACAAGAGTTTTGGTCGGGATAAATGTTTACTAGATCCCTAAGAGCTTAGTTGACCTATTTTTTTTCTGATATAAGCCAGCTAAGAAAAAGTCAGAATATTCCTAGGAAAAAAATGACACATCTCAGACGTCTTTGTAGTCTAACAGAGCTAGTTTGAAACTTCAGCCCTGCTGACTGGCAACACAGGCCAAGAGTTTTGATTTTCTGTCCTGTAAAGTGGGGACAGTGAACCTGGCCTTGCCAGGTGGCTGTGGGGATTTGAGGGCGAGGCTGCCTCAGGCAGAGAGCTGGCTGGTCAGATCACAGCTGCTGGTGCTGCACTCCACGAGGGCACAGGCCCGGGGAGTCGGCATGAAGAAGTTGCTGACTACCTGGCGCCCAGGAATGTTTCTGAGAGTCCACCTGGGGCCCCCCTCATCCTCTCTGCAGAGCCCCTTGTCACCCCTCCCACACCTGAGCTGGGTTTCTGCCTAAGACTCCACAAGGAAGACAAGTGCCTTTTCTTGTCCCTAAAGCCGGGCTCCCTCCCTGGCCTGACAGGGGAGGGGATTCCTGAGCCAGGTCAGCTTGTCAGCTGCAAGGGGACACTCTCTTCCCCCGGCACTGGGCTCTGGCCTGCGACCAGCACCGTCCTCACAGGCAGCTCTGTGTCTACAGGGGCCACGTTGCTATGGTGATTCCACTACCCACATGGTGTCCAGGGAGACAGCACAGTGTAGCTGGAGCTGTCTGCAAGACTTGCTGAAACTGGCACTGACAGGCTGGGAAGATTCTGGAAGAGTCGGAGGGATGGGGAATGGGAACTAGGTATAACTGCTTCCCTGGCAGGAGCACTGTGTACGCACATGCGTGTGCACGCGCTCACACGTGCACCTGCTCCCGTCCTGGTTACGACGGCCCTTCTGAGTGGAGGTCCTGCCTCTGGAGAAGCGTGATCTCATCACCGTCATAGGCTTTGTCCTGAGGCAGCCTTCATGGTTTATCGTTGTGTTTAGTTTATATAATGAAAACTAAAAGGGAAAACAAGTGGTATTTACATGGTGGTAGAACCGGATAAACTGTGTCTTATACTGTACCATGACTGAAGCTGTCATCATAGTCTACCTTGTCCCTGTCCTTTAAGATTTCTTATAGCACCTAGTGTGGGACACCAGGGAATGACACTGTGACAGGGAGGCAGGGTGACAAACTGCAATGACTGCCCCCTACCCAGCACTTGCCCTGTGTGCCAAGTGGCTGGTCTGAATCATCACCTTTAACTCACATCGCAATCCTGCATGGGGAGTATCATTATGCTCATTTTATAGATGGCAAAACTGAGGCTCAGAGAGCCTAAATCACTTGCCACAGCCAGGAGCTAGTAAGTGTAGGAAGGGGTGGCAAACCCAGGCTGTCCTTTCAAGATCTGCGTCCACAGCACCATGTGTACCTGTTTCTCCTTCCTGCTCCTGCTAGGTGGTGGCTTACTGGGAACAGCCTCCTAGGTCCCAAGAGAACAGAATCCAAGGCACCAAGTGAAATTAAGGTGCTAACCCTTCTGGAATGGCAAGTTGAATACAACCCAGACTGTCCTTACTGGGGACTGGTGTTTAGACTCTGAATTTGAGAGCTTTTGGTTCCTCTTCATGGACGATTTTGAGAATTATTAAATAAATGACCCCAGTCCTACCCCACGTGCACATTTCTGCTGACCCAGTTCAACCCAGAGTAGTTAATCTATGCCTTTCCCCACAGGCATGCATGCGGGCTCTCCCTCGCGGAGCTTCTGAAACAGCCCTGACTGCAAATAAATTAATTCTCAGTGGTGGTGACAACTGGCCCTAACATCTTCTCGAGCCCTTGTGTTCAGAACTGCTGCTACTTGTAAAGCGCTTTATGATTTATTCATACCGCCTTCCCAGGACAACCTTCCCCTCACACAAATGAGTGTGACTCCCAGAATAGAATGCCAGGCTTCATTAAAAGAAAAAAACCCTGGTGTGGGGGATGTCCCTTTTTCTGCTCCCTAGCCTGCGTCACCCGGCGTTTGTAGAATTCAGGTCAAACTTGAGAAAGCACCTGTGCCTTAACAGCCTTTGGCTCATGAATAAAGCAAGGAGCTTCTTCCTGGGAGAGAGGGACTCTCCTGGCTTGGGTCTCTCTGCTCCAGGACTTGAACTTGGGCCTGCTGGAGGCATTCCCAGCAAGTGGTGGAGGGGTCCCCAGGAGACAAGGGGGCTATGGTGGAAACAGGGTAGAGTTCTGCTCCACTGATTTTTCGGCTGGGGAACCGAGGCAGGCCCCTCACCTCTCAGGGATGCCACTCAGCACAGTGTAAACGAGAAGTGGCCAAACTAGTTTCCAATAGCATTTTCACTATTGTCATCATCATGGTGTCCTCAAACTTGAGGAGGAGGTCTAATCACTTTGAAGCACAGATGGAAGAGGAAAATCCCACTCTCCTGCCCATCCTTAACTGCATCGGGGATCTCAGGAACTCCTGAGCAAGGAATGCCTCCTTGCTCAGGCCTCACTGTTGCCCAGGAAAGCTGACCATAGCAGAGTTGTATGCCTACGGGATGGTGAGGCACCGCAGTGCACACGAGTCACGCCTGATACAGGAGTACCAGAGACTTAACAGGCTTCACACCTCCCCTAAAACTCCCACAGGCTGCAGTCAGCATTCTAGCGCCAGAGGGTCCCACGCTTTAGGGAACAAACCCTGCTAAACCACACTGACAAGGACTTTTGAGCAGTTTAGCTTGTTTGAAGCTGACTCCAGGCACTCTGAAGCCAGGGACTTGCATCTCCTGCATGGACTGCCTTAACTCCCAGAAGAGCAGACTAGAGCAGGACGGAGGCAGTGCTGAGCTTAGCATTAAAAACTCTGAGTGGGAAGAGCGAACCCCGTGAGCCCTGAGCCCAGGGGGTTTGACTGTCTTCAGGTCCCCCTAAGGAGAAGAGGATGCCCGAGCACCCCAGTGACCTCATGACCCCCTGGGTCATTGGGGATTCTACCGTGCATTTCTCAAGGCTTGTCCCCATTTAGGATAAAGGAAGCATGTCTGTAGACATCTCCTGTGCTCAGCAGCTCACACTGAACTTACTGGTAACATGAACAATTTCTTGACTCTGGGTAACAGTAGCCCGATCTAATCATCTGCCGGAATCAGGGGACAGTCCCAGGGCCTTCCCCCATTCCCATGTGTTATGCTAGAGCAGACAGACACTCCCAAGTCCTAAAAGTCCAAGGCGTGGGTGGTGACTGTCACATGTTTTGGGGGTCCTTCACTAGTGTATATCCTTTGCTACCAACTGTTAATCCATCATCCTCCAGCAGTGGGCAACACCGAGGGCTGAGAGCTGCGACTGCAGTCTTTTTTGCTTTGCAAAAAAGGACCTACATTGCTCTCAACACCTTGAAAAAATAGCAACAACAAAAGAGTTTTTGAGTTAATCCATTCAACACTGTTCTTTTGACCATCCCCTCTAGCTCTGGTCCTCCAGGCAGGGAACTGGACAAATTATTGCATTTGGGACATTCATGAGACCCAAATGGCCCACCCAGTTTTGACAGATCATAGTAGTCAAAGTCCAGAAATAAACCCCAACTTATTCACCTTATTCTTAAAAAGTAAGCTAATGACACTTTCAACTGAGAGTTGGTTCCGCACAATTGCTAATTGTGTATACATAGCTTCCTTTAGAAAAATAACTAAAAGGCATTTCTTTGGGCATCAAAATTTTTAAATGTTAACTTTCAAAATCATCTTTCTAAAATATAGTAAATAAATTATACTGTTTGGGGCTTCCTTAAAACATACATTCTCATGGGGACAAATGCTCATTCTTGAATGTGAAGAGACATTATTCTTTTTATGTATAAATCATAGATATAAAGTACACAAGCAGATATATAGTATCTTTCTGGTATTAAAATTTCCTGGGAGAGATGGTTAGGAAAACATGTCTAAAAATGCTCCTTAGGGGGAACAATAAGGGAAAATATGTTAAAGGAACATCACTTAAATAGAAAATAACAATGATAACTTTTTCCATATGACTCAAGGTCAGCCGTACAAACATCTCTCATCACATTCCGGGACAGTTTTTGAGGTAGAGTGAGAGTATTTGTTCCTTCTTAAATGACCTTGACCCCTGACCTTGGGTGCTGAGGCCTTTCTGGTTGGTAATTTTTTTTCTCTCCCTTTTCTTTGTTTCCCCTTCGTTTCTCGGTGCCTTCATTTTACAGGCAATACCGACACCCCTTCTGCTCTGACAGTGACACCCCTCTTCCCCACGGAGCAGCAAAACCCCTGAATGGGTTGTGTCCTGCCTCTTCATGCGTTTTCATGTATTTCTGGGTTGGATCTGTGCTTTTGATGATTGAGATCACCACAAAAACTTTCTAGCATGTTCCACGGGCATCTGCAGGATGACTTACAGTGCAGAGTGTTTCAAAAGTCTTTTCAGAGACAAAGGATCCATCAAGGCCAAAGAGAAATATAGACGCATAGGAGAGCATCCCTCCAAGGATAATGAGGTTGTTCATATATGGACTTGACATCTTTATCAGCCTGACAAGAGAAAGAAAGAATAGGTTTAACAGAACTGTTAATTTAGTTTTCCGTCAACAGATATTTCCCAAGTGCCCACTAGGTGTATATTATGGCCAGGGCTGCAGGGGGAGAGAAAAATGGGGAAAAAATGCAAGCCCTGAGTGCCTCCACTCCCCCTCACCAACTACGAGGGACTGTTTATTTTTCACTAAAGCCCCCCAGACAACTATAAATTTCTAATTGTTGATTTTCCTGCCTCCTCTGTCAAGTTCACCTATTAATTCTCTAGGGACAGCTTGTCATACCAACTTCTTCATCCGTTAATTCTCAGTTTACACAAAAGCATTAAGTCAACAGGTGTTTACAGCTGGGGCTGGGAATATATGCCCAATCTAGAGAATTCTATGCTGAAGTGCAGTGACCTTCTGCAGTGCGGGGGAAGATGCCCACGCCACATCCCCTGCCTCGAGTGGACTATGTCACAACGGTCTACGGGCAAGTGTCCAGGGTTGCTTAGGAACCGCGGTTACCAGCAGTGAGCGAGCATCCGCTTCGGCTGTCTCTGAGCGCTCAGGAAGCTCACACTGTTCCGTGCACAGAGAGGGCCACCCAGTTGGGTAGGAACACCTCTCCCAGTTGCCAGGTGATAGAGGCAGACAACAGGGTCCTTATCCCCCCGCTACCCTGTCTTCATTAGGCTGTGGCTGGGAGCATTCTGTACACTCCCAAACGCTACATGCTTCTCTCTCATTTCCTTGGGGAATCCTGCTGTGGCTCCCAGCTACCTGGCAATCCAGGGCTGCGTGAAACCAGCAGTCGGCTGGAGTTTGCCTCACAGGTACCTGGCTTCCCCGGAACCATCAGTTCAGAGTGTCTTAGGTTTCCAGGTGCCCCGTGGTCTAGGTGCTCTTCTGTAGATTGTAATTATGGACAATTTCCCCCAAAGATTTTCTTTTGCATTCTGTGGTTCTATTCATCCTTCACATTTTAAACATGCCATGTGTGTAAGTGATGGCTTAGTCCCTGCCACCCTCTAGAAGTACACCCTTAGTGGTTACTTAACCTGGCTGAGTTTCCTTATCTGTAACATGAGAGAACTGATCATGTTGCCTAGAGCACATGTGAAGCTGAGATGCGCTGAGTCCTTTTGTAAACCAGGAAGTGCTAAGGTGTCTTCATTCTCATTATCATAGCAGTCTAGGGAGGGAGAGGTTTCCTGGAAGAGGTGGACCTTGCAGGATAGCAGTTAGCTGTGGGTAGCATTTAGGAAGACAGAAGTTGGGGGAAGAAGTGGGAACCAGCGATGTTTATTCCCCATCTCTTTGCAGAATTTAAAAAAAATTCACCTGGATGCCAGGCTCTTGGAAAGAGCAACGGTAATTTCACCCAGGAAGGCCAAGAGGGTAGTTGAGCAATATAAGGATTTAATCTTACTATGGGGCAACTTGCTATTCTGATGGGAATTCTTGAGGCACGTAGGAAGGCAGTCTAACATTAATTGAGAGCTATGCAGCCAAGCCTGGTGCCAAATGCTAATAGGTATGATCATCATTTAAAGTCTGTATGGAATAGACAAAAATTGCTTTAATTTTTTTGTGGCACTATATGTGTTATTTATGATAAATAATATAAAACAACAGGAGAATAAAACTCTTTTTTGTTTTTAGGAAATAGGTTTGACCTAAGCAGTTGCTACCAAAAACCCAACCAAGATACACACACACACACCCACACACAGACACACACACACACAGACACACACACACACGCCTAGAGCCTTCAAGTTCTTCAGGTGCAAGCTGGGAGTGGGGGAAAAAAACCCTCAAAACACTGTTCCCTTGGGATCAGGCTTATTCCTGGCAGCCTGTGGGGTCATGCAATGTGGTTTCTGGGGACCACGGACGCCAGGGCTGCAATGCTGCGTGGGTGGTCCTGAGGCTGTCCCCATGACAGCCCACGCTCGGAGCCCTGGCTCAGCCTCTCCCACTACAAGGCAGAGAGCTGGGCTTGGGGATTTGCTATGGAAACCAAAGAAGCTAGCTGCGCCTGGTAAACACCAGCGCCTGGAGTGGTGGCCTGTTCTACCCACGAGTGACCAGAATAACGCAGCGCGGAGCCTCTCTCCTTGGGAGAGTTAAGGGCATGTGGTGGGGAAAAGAAATCAACACAAGAAACCCAGGGGACAGGCTGCTCTGCTGCACGTTCACAGCAGCTCCGTCACTGAGCCTCGGGGCCTCCTCTGTGACACGAGGAGGGAGGGCCTTCCTGGGCGGTAACGTGCTGGGTCCAGGGTCCCAGGACCTCCTCCAGCAGTGACACCCACAGGTGTTTGGGGAATTCTGTCTTTTATCTTTCCTCCTCCTGGCCCATCCCAAAGCTCTGACAAGGCCTGTGGACTCACAACCTTCTATTCTATTTAACTCAGCCTTCCCCAAACTTGTTTTTGTTTGACCACACTCCTGTGCAACCAGCAGTCCTACCTCTGTGTGTGTGCATGTGCATGTGTGTGTGCGCGCGTGCATGCATGTGCATGCATGCATGTGTATGCATGTGTGTGCATGTGTGTGTGCGCGTGTGTGCATGTGCATGCATGCATGTGTATGCATGTGTGTGCATGCGTGTGTGTGTGTGTGTGTGTGTGTGTGTGTGTGTAGCACCTGAAACATCCTAGGAACTGAGTGACACACTTTGAGAAACTCTGCCCTAAAACCTTCTGTGCCCCTGGTGAATCTGTCACATGACACTGGTTAAACCAGAAAGCACCATCCCAGAGGAGGGCCTGGGTGGACTTACTTCTGATTCCGATTCTTGATGTTGAAGAAGAGGAAAGCGCTGGCCATGATCATGCCGAGGATGGTGAGGGCAGACAGGATGCTGTAGAGGGGCAGGGAGATCTTCCGCAGCTGCTCCAGGATGATCGTCTTGTCTTTTGGGGGTTCGGATCCTGGAAGGCCAAGAAGAAGACATCAGCGGAGCCGAGCTCACAGTTGTTCCCCGAGAACGTCTCTGCCTCGGTGTCCCTGACACCCAGCCAGGCCCTGCACACCAGCTCTGTGCAAGGCACGTCTATTCACTGGGTGAGCCAGATCCGGCAGCTGGCCAGTGTGCCCAACGGGAGCCTGAGCCAGGACTTATTTCTTTCTCTAAATAGAATCAATAAAGGATTTGTGATGCATTTAATAGCCATTAGAAGACTAGAATTTGATTTGGTCTAATTACGCTGGTGAAAAACCATCACCATTTATCCCCAAAGGTAACAATGGCTTGGAAGGCACAGGGTTGGGTGATGTGAGGGGGTTCCACTGAGTGCCATGGGGGTAAGAACTTGGCTTTGGCCTCGAGGACTCTGCTCCTACACAGACATGGTGGTGACCACTCCTCCACAGGGCGGACACATGGCCTGTCCGTTCCATGGTGACACATATGTGCTCTGGATGTGGAATTTCTGCTTCAAGGTCGTTATAAAACCTCTATCTGGCTTTTCGTTTCCGTAAGAGTCATTAACTGTGGGAGGCAGAAGCTACCTTCCTCTCCTGCTGTGCCAGAACTGGACTGAAACGGGAGGTAGGATTCCATTTGTCCACGGGACTGCAGAAGTGCCCTACTCCTTCTTCAAGGGCACCAGGAAAGTGGGGGATCCCTGGGGGTTTTGGAGCAAACGCATCTTTCTGCGAGGCAGCAAACTTGTCCCGGCTGTTTCAGCAGGTACAGGCTGGTTTGGGACGAGGGATGCAGGGTCTGGGTCTCCCCCAGCTTCCTGCAGATCCCTTCTTTCTTAGGGGCAATTTCAGGTCAGGTTTCTGCCATGAAATTGTGAAACTTTTGGGCTTTCTCTCCAGGGGGAATATGGGGAATCAGCTACAGGCCAGAAAGGACCAAGCTCTGGGACACCCCACCCAAGGGTCTCAGTTACGCCTCCATTCCCAAGAGACAGCAGGGGGCAGGCAGATGTGGCAGCAGGGAGTGAGAACTGCCCCAAACATCTGGGTTTCAAGCATTTTGCTAGCAACTTCAAATGTGTTTAGAAACATTCAGTGGATAAAGAGTTTGATCCATCTAAGAAATCTAGGGAAGTTGCCAGGTTCAAAAACAGCTAGGAACCTGCTGGTGTGGTTCATGTACAGCCTTAAGCAGTTCCAGGTAAAGTAACATTTATAAGTGTGACGTCAAGGGCCGACGGTCAGGGCTAAAGCAGACACAAGGTGACACAGGCCACATCATTTCTTGCTTCCAGAAGTGAAAGCCCAACATCTGGAAACTTTTTCCTCACTCCCCATCCTTCTCCCAACCACTGGACTGGATGAGGCTGGCTCAGGGGTGCCTCCTTCAGGCTACCAAATGCAAGAGCAGTCTCTGGCGCACCCATGAGGTCTTGGCTGGAAACAAGCCCCTCTCTGGGCACTGAGAAAGGAGGCTGAGGTCTGAATCAAAGGTGATATGGCTACGAGTGAGTCTGGGGACCATTGTGTAGAAACAACTTCAGAAAATTGACATCTTTTTAGCTAGGCATAGTGGCTCATGCCTGTAATCCTAGCACATTGGGAGGCTGAGGCAGGAGGATCGCTTGAGCCCAGGAGTTTGAGGTTACAGCGAGCAAGGATGACGCCACGGCACTCTAGCCTGGGCGACAGAGTGAGACCCTGGTGCCTCTGCCCACAATGTCCTTTCCCGCTTGTCTTCCTGGTCGACAGCCAACTGCTCTACTCACTTTCCAAGACTCGGCTCCCATATTATCTCCTTTGGTGCCTCGAGGTGCCTCTTCACTAAGATGTTACAGAAATCAGATTCCAACGGTTTATCAGAAGTGTTAGAAATAGCAGCAGTCCTGAGTTTTCTTTCTTGCTTTTTGTCTAGTCCATTCATTCATTATTCACCATCATTAATGATGAATCATCATCATTACTAATCACCTTCCACCGGTCAGGCCAGGGCCGTGCCGCACTGACACAAAGGTGAAGAAGACGCAGTCCCTTTCCTCAAGGGATGTGCACACCAGCCACGGGAACGGGAAAGGCCATAACATGCAATCTCACTTATTGAAGGCTTGCCACAGGCTGAGCACCGGACAGAGATTTTCTCACTTGATCCACCCAACAGCCCGGTGGGTAGATAAGATCATTCCCACTTGACAGAGGGGGCAACAGTTCAGTGGTGTTAAATGGCAGGATTTGAACCCAGATCTGCCTGACTCTGAAGTGTGTGCTCTGCCCGCTGTGCAAACTGTCCCCAGTGACATTGGGGTGCAGGGGCTGTGGTCACCCTGGGCACAGGCAGGCCTGGGCACGGGGCAGGGAGCAGAGGGCAGTGCAGCCTGGTGGAGTCAGCAAAGGCCCCGGAAAGGAGAAGATGTGGGAGCTGAGTGTTGGCAGGTGAGTAGAGGCGTTGGATGCTGACCAGAAGACAGTGGGAAAGGGCGTTACGGCACAGGGCACTGTGTGAGCAAAGGCAGGGTGGTGTCTCAGCATGTTGGAGGAACTGTAGGCAGTTTGGCTGGGGAGATTTGAGAGAGGAGACAGAGAGGTGGGGAGAGGTGCCTTGAAGGAGGCCTTGGGGCCACCGGGGGACCACGCAAGGCTCCGGGCAGGGTGGGCCATCTCAGGCCTGGCAGGACAGCAAGGGCGCTTTGGCTGCCGAGGGCAGAACACACTTGACGGGGGGAAGACCAGTTCTGAGAAGACCACACGGGGCTGGTGCAGGGGTCCGGGTGAGGGAGGCCGAGAGCTGAACCCAGGCAGAGGTGCGGACAGGAGACCAACCCAACCCAAAACTTTTCCAGAAGAGGATACAGAGTTCAATTTAGTGAGGACACATTTAAAAAGAATTACTCCTGGCCACCGAATGGTTTAGACACCTTGGTGGGCACTTCATGCACATTCCAGTGACCCATCCCGGCGCTGCCCGCCGTGCGAGTGACTGGGGCCCTGTACTCAGTGAGAGAGTGTTTGTGTTGAGCACGTCCCTTCAACCCCATGAAGCCAGGGACTCTGAGCTCATCCTCCACACTCAGAAGACATCCAGGCTTAGAGCGACTGAGCACGCCCCCTCCTCTGAGAAGCCCCCCTGCCTTACCTTGGAACCGGATGGTGTCGTTGATCATCTCCAGCGTGTCGGCCACAGCATTGTACTCGCCCACCTTCACCTCCCTGCTGTCTGTGGGCGGCAAGAGGTGTGGCCAGTCAGATCAGGGTCCCGGCCCCATCCCTTCTCCCCCACAGGCCCTGGCCATATGCTTGTAGGCGTGTTTTCCCCTCCAATGCCCCTTCCAGTTGGAATCCCCAAGGCCCCAACCTGATCTGGGCTGGAACATCTTCTCACGTCATCTCGTGAGCTGGTTGTCTGTCTTTGCTGCACATCTCAGGGTGGGAGCCCACTCCCCCTGTAGCTGGACTCTGCCTGCTGCCAGCTCTTCCTTGTCACTGAGCTGAACTGGCTCCTTGTAACTTTCACCTGCTCATCTGGTTTTGCCCTCGAGGACCACACGGAGCACTGCTGCTCCCTCTACTGCAAGGCAACCCCAGCCACTCAAAGACAAAGATCATCCTCCAGCACCCACCCCCAAGCCCTCCTCACAGAATATCATTTCTATCTCCCACCCCACCCAGGCCCCTCCTTGAGCCACATCCCACAGTGTCACTGTATTTCTGTAGACTCAAAGACTGATCAATGCACTTCAGGTATGATTTGGTCAGCAGCAAGTAGAGCTGACTATGCCCTCCCTCATTCTGGACACTGTATTCCTATTAATGGATCCTTAGGTGGGATCAGCATCTTTCAGAAGCCACATTGCTCTGCTGTGTCATACCAAGCAGTTTGCCATTGCCCTTGGCTCCCTCATATGCACTTGTTCAGTGTGTTTTCAAACTCAAGTGTGCATTTGAATTTGCCGTCATCCTCCTGACTACTCTTGGTAGGCTTAGTTCATCGTTTTGGTCATTGTCAGGGATAAAAACAATGAGAAATGGCCCAGGGTGGTGGGAGGAGGAATGGAAAAAGGGATCAGATTTGACACAGGTTTCTTTTTTCCAGGTAAAACCAAGACAACTGGGTGATCAAATGGGAGATGAAGACAAGGGTGGCAAGCAAGTCACCTGGGATTCTGGTGGGGATGGCAGGGGCTCAGGCACCTTTCCTGGGGCAGGGGCTGAAGGGAGTCAGATATGGAGGGGAAGATGACGAGTTCTGGCTCGGATGTGCTGTGTCTGGTCTGAGGAGCCTGTGGATCGTCAAGGTGGAGATGCCCTTGAGTCTGGACTGAGGGGACAGGTGCGGGCTGGGGGACAGGCTTGATGCCATCGGCATGGAAGTTGAGAGTTGGATCAGGGGGCAGGGATGAGACCCCCAGGGAAAGAGCCACATGAGAAGAGGAGAGGACCCAGCACAGGCTCCAGGGCGTGGGCAGGACGCCAGGAGCAGGGGGCAGAGAGATGATGGGCATCTCAGAAGCCAAGGAACAGACTCTCACAGTGGGGCTGGCCAGCAATGCCACGTGCCAGGGAGAGACGGACACGAGCTCCTTGAGCCGGGGGTCAGTGGGTTTGGCACCTGGGGGATACTGGTGACCACAGATGAAGCAGATTCAGAGAAAGGTAAAGGTTAGAGGCAGCGAGCATGGAGTGGGGAGTGTGAGAGCAGAGCGTGGAGCCCCTAGGGCAGAGCAGGCTTTGACAAGGTTGGGGCGCAGGTGGGGAGGGGCCAATGGCATTTACTGAGCCCCCACAGTGAGTCTGGATCTGTGCTGTTTTATGGACATTTTCTGGTTTAGCTCTCACAGTGTGTTGAGGGGCTGGTCTCAGCCCCACCTTAAAGACGAGTAAACGGAGGCTGAGACAGGTTGTCACTGTGCCCAGGGCCCCACTGGAACTAAAAGCAGAGTCCAGATTCAAACCTGGATTTTTTCTGCCCCCATGCTCTTCCCCAGCATGGGGCTGCCTTGATGGGATCCCCGAGAGGTGACAGTTCTATGCCGAGGTGCCCACTCTACGGGCCACCTGTGCCTCCTGAATGTGGGAACTGCAGAGAGGAGGGTTCACTGTCCCCAGTGAAAGGCCCCCCAGAGGGGCGGGCAGATCCCCAGCAAGATGCCCAGAGGTTAGACAGGAACTCCAAGCCTGCACCCAGAGGAGCTGCCTCCTGGGGCCCTGGCTGTAAGTGAACTTCGCAGAAATGCAGGCGCACTGCTGGGCACTTATGAGCATTCAGGAAATGAAACAGGGAATCCTTCAGGACACAATTCTGCTATGTTACATTGACTATGTGGGGGGGACACAGGGACTGTAAAAGTCACTTCCTTCTCCCGCAAGGGTCCCTGCCATTTGGGGGGGCATCACACTGTGTAGGCAGCTGCTGCTTGCCTGGGTCACCTTGCTCCTAAATGTCACATTAGCAGACTCTGCTGGGGACTCCAGCATCTCTGCTCAGGCCTTTTGAAGTCCTCAGCCCCACAGATGCCCCAGTCAGCCCCCGCCACTCAGAGGAGGCGGCCCTGATTTATTTATTTGGCGTGGGGCTGCCGCGCATGAAATATGCAGGCTGATTGGAATTCATCATCAGAGCTGCGGAGCAGGGCACCCTCCCGCGCCCCGGCCACACAGCCCGCTGTGGGCACCGTCTCATGGCACCGAAATAATACTCAGCCTCCCACCACGACCATCATCACCATAATCTCTCCCTAGGGGCAGTACTTGGAGGCTCACAGGCGCTTCACAAGTTCCTGCGTTTAATGCTCATGCAAACCATGAGTTGGGCATAATTCACCCTGTCTAAGCAGGAGGGAGGAGCCTCGAATGGTTTAAGTCACCACTCAGAGCCACAGGCTGGGCAGCGACGGATCAGGAGTCTGACCTTGGGTCCCCTAGTCCTGAATGCAGCACACTTTTACTTTCAGACTGAGCAGGGCTATTGGTCATTCAGCCCACATTTATTGAGTGCCTATTGCATGCCAGGCCCAGCCTGAGGTATTTCATGATAAAGAATCCCTCAAAAGCCACACACTGCAGGTGGTGGCCAGTTAAAGTTATTCCCACCCCTTGACCTAGATGGCCTTGAATGTTGAAGAGATGTTTACACTCAATCTTCTAGTGTAATCACTTTATTCATTCATTCATTTACCCAACATTATTGGACACCTGTTATGTTCTGGGCTCCATGCTAAGGACTAAAGATAAAAAGTCATTTAAAAAAAATCATAATCTCTGATCTTGGGTAACTGTAAACTAGGAACTTTCAGAGTTGCGATGAGGGTAAAAGAGAATATACGCAAAGTTTCTAGTTTGGGGCTTTACTCCCAGTAAGTGTTTAACAATTTATAGTTATTTTATTCCTGATAAAAGTAACTTTGAGGCTGGGTGCAGTGGCTCATGCCTGTAATCCTAGCACCCTGGGAGGCCGATGTGGGAAGATCACTTGAGGTCAGGAGTTCAAGACCAGGTTCAGCAAGAGAGAGACCCTGTCTCTACTAAAAATAGAAAAATTAGCCAAGCATGGTGGTGTACACCTGTAGTCCCGGCTACTTGGGAGGCTGAGGCAGGAGGATCGCTTGAGCCCAGGAGTTTGAGGTTGCTGTGAGTTAGGCTGATGCCACGGCACTCTAGCCCAGGCGACAGAGTGAGACTCTGTCTCAAAAAAAAGTAATTGTAAGCTATTTGCTAGGTCCCCAAACAGTCTATGTTTTCTTCCTGCCATCTGTTCCCCACAATGGTGCCTCCACTTGGAAGGTGGTTTTCCCCTTCCTTTACCAAATCGCCATGACTAGGCCCTGCCTGCCTCTTCTAGGAAGGCTTCCCTGAGCACTGCTCCTCCCCGAGGAGCGTGTCCCAGTTGCTGCAGGCTCAGGGCACTGAGTGACAGCTCCTGGTGTCAAAGCTCTGCCCTATGTGTGTTCAGGTCTCTTGATTCTTGCCGGCTGGTCTAATCCTAAGAGGAACCTGAAGCCTTGCTTCTTTTGTCCCTGGTAGTAGAGGGTCAATCGTGCCCCCTGTTCTTCCATGATAGGCACCCACCACTCTCAACCGTTAGCTCTTGGGCTCCTTGTTAACGCCATTGTGCAAACAAGGCTATCCACTTATTTGGATACAGACTGGGCCCTGCAGACCCCAAACTATGGACTGGAAGGTTCTGAGCAGAGGGAGAGGGGTTGTGGCCTTGTGTCTGTTACTGGCTGGCCCCCTGCCCCACAGATGCTGCCGCAGATTGCCACTGATTCACTGTGTGATCTTTCCCTTTCTCTGGGCCTCAGTTTCTCCATCTGCAAATTATCCTGCAGGTTCCAGTGGTTCTCAGCCTGAGCCAGGCATTAGAGTCACCTAGGGGTTTCTAGAAAATACAGATGCCAGGGTTCCAAACATACCCATTAAGCCCCTGGGGGCTGAAGGGTGGATCGTGGGCAGCAATATTTTTTAAACTTCCCTAAGCTGACCTTAATTGTATAGCCAGGGTTGAGAGCCACTTGATTAGATTGAGGGCCCTTTAGCAGTCAAGTCTTATGGTTTTCAGAGTCTAAAACTACCATGAAACAATCCCTTTTCCTACAGATTAATACTGGTTCCTTCTTGTGGTACAAAAAAAAGTGTTCTCTTTAAAAGGTGCATTCTTTATTTCAAAATTTGGATTTGGATGGTATGTAAAGAAAATAGGTCCTATTGGTACAAATTGGGCTGCTGAAAAGCAAGTCCAGTCTGAAAATATTCATTGGTCACAGGCCTAGGAGCACCCATGAGAAGCTGGGCAGGGGCTTCCTCCTTCCTGGACTGAATCCCCTGAGGCAGAAGGGCAAGGGCCTGGGTCCCCCACACCCTGCAACATGGCTCTACTCCCCATATTCCCAATGTCTATTCTTCTCACGTGGCTCTGGCTCGAAATTGAGGGAGGTATAAGTGTCCTCAGAGTTTAACTGTTGTTAAAAACACACATACTGAGACTCAATGTGTAACTCTGGGGTGTAAAACAAAAGATGAGTTTGGCTCAACAAAACTGAAAGATTCTGTAAACGTACTCAATTCAGGACCCCCTGGCAAAATCCCAAACTCAGGCATAGGAATGAGCTCTGAGCTAGGAGACAGGACCCCTAGAGCTAATGTTGGCTTTGCTGTCACCTTCATGAACAGTTCTGGGGAAGTCCCATTGCCTGGCTGGGACTTCCTAAGCAACTGGGG